AAAAACAATGAAAAAAAGAAAAAAAAAAAAAAAGATGACTCTTTAGACGATAAAAAATTTAGTGAAGTGTATAATTCTATTTATGAAAATTTAAAAAAAAAAAAAGAAATTAAACAAAACATTGAAGTTAATTATTCAAATAAAAATGAATATTATGAAATTAATTACACTTCTTCTGACAATGTAAATTCTATATCAAGTGTTGAAGATGATTCTCTTTTTAATGAAGATATTTTAAAAAAATACATTATAGGACAAGTATTAAATATAATTAGAACGTCATTTCATTGGGTTATAACATCATTTTTTTTAATTTTTTTATTTGTTCATTTTTCAGTGTTTTATGTATACAGATTAGTTTCATTTTTAACATTATTTCTGTTTACTCCTATCTCTATATATTTAGTAAAAAAAAAAAGTATCAAATTTTTCTTAATTTTAACCAATACTGTTAGATTATTTATATGGGGAATATTTATACCTTTATTATATTATTTTTATAGTGATCAAATAAAAAAATATTATATAAATAGGGTTTATGAATTAATCTTTATCTTTTTATTAATAATTGATAATATACAAATAAATATATCTAATTTAATTGATATTGACAATAATGGAATAGATTTTTTATCAAAAAAATATGATTTAAAAATTAATGAAAAGGCCAAAAGAAAATTTCTAACATTACATCAATTTTTTTTTGATATATCATTTATTATTATTAATCCTCTACTTATATTTGTTATTTATATATTTAGTAACTTTTTTAATGAAATATATTATAGAGATGTATTTATATATTTCTCTTCTTTTATATTTTCATTTATTACTATAATAACTTTAATTATCTATAGTATTGGATTAAAAAAAAAGAAAATTACTACAAATAAGAATAACGATAGCAATATTGATAAATTCAGATATCATAATTCAAGAGAAAGTATTGAGAATATGGATTATATTAAAAAATATAATAATGAAAATGATTTTGAAGAGTATTATGAAAGGCAAAAATATAATGATGAAAAATATACTAGTTATAAAAATTCTTCTAATGTATATAATAATAAAAAAAAAAAATACATAAAAGAAAAGACAAGTGTAGAATTTGATGATTATATTAGTGAAGAAATTTCATTGAAAGATCAATATAAAAAACAATTTTCGGAATTAATTAATAACTTTTATAGGATTAAAGGAGAGAAAAAAATAATATTTTATATAACTATGTTGTCATATCTAAATAGTGTAGAAGATATTATGGTATTAATGCTTATTCCTTTAACTTCTATATATGTATCAGAATTTTTTAACATAAATAATATATTCTCTCAAATTTTAATTGCTGTTATATTGATATCATTAACAAAATGTTTTGAAAATATATCATATTATTCAAACAAAAAAAATATTATAGCATTAAAGGATATTTTCATGTAATTAAAATATATCTTTTTTTTAACACTATATATATATATATATTTATATATATTTTTTTTTTTTTTTTTTTTTTTCAGAGGAATTATTTTATCAGGAATTTCTTTATTATTTTATTTTTTCCCATTTTTAATGTTAAATCATTTGAATATATACAGCTTTTTAATATTTTATATAATTTGTTGTTTATTCTACTTCTTTTTCTCAACCAATTTAAAGACAAAGTAATGTTTAAAATTAGAAAAAGTTTGCATAATATTATTTTTAATTTGTTTTGATAATATTTATTATTTTTTTCTCAGGTTATCTCTAAATTTACAGAAAAGTGTGAAAGAAATAAAATCAGATATTTATAATTTTGTTGGTCTTTTTATGTCTTTTATCAATTTATTGTTTGTCTTTTTAATATCATTTTTTTTATCTATATTGGATAACTTTGTTATAAATTATGTATTTATATGTACTTTTTTAATTTTACTTTTAGTTTTCTTTTATATATGGGCATTTTTTATCATAAAGAAAGAAAGTAATTAAAATTAATAATTTTATATTTATTATTTCATACTTTTGATGTACATTTTAATATTTTCAATTGTGATAATTTTATTTTATTAATAATTTTTTTGTTTTTTTTTTTGATAATTATCTAAATTCATCGAATGCTTTATTTTGAAGTGTTCTTTTCTCTATTAAAATGAAAAAATATAATGAAGAAAATTATTTTCAGTATGTGCTATTTACATACATAAATTTTTTTATATGAGTAGTTCTCTTAGAAAATGTTTCTATCTTCGTTTTTAATGAAATTATTTTTATTCATTTTTTCTTCGTCCATCCTGCTTAAACAAAATTTCTTATATATATATATATATATCATTGTAATTTTTTTTTTTTTTTTTTTAAATAAATCCTCAAGTAATAATTATTTTATTTATTTATTTATTAATACTATTTTATTTTTCTTTCATTTTATTTTATTTTAAATTTTTTTATTTGAAGCAAATTTTAAATTTTTTTAAAATTTATTATTATTATTATTATTACGTATATATAACTTTTAAAAATGAGTATAAAAGCTACTTTTGCATTTTAAAAATAATTTAAAAAAAATACATCTACACACGTAAAATATTAAGTTTTATTTTCTTGTTATATTCATAATATATACAAAAAAAAAAAAAAAAAATATATATATATATATATATATATATATATATATATATATATATATATCCGGATATTACATAATAAATAATAGTAAACAAAAGAAATATTTTAAGAAAAAATACAAAAAAAAAAAAAAACACAATTTTTTTTTATTAATTTTATTTTTTTGATCTTTTTGAATTAATTAATTCTATTTCTTCATTTGAAAAATTAAATGAATTATAAATAACTGAAACATAATCATCAATTTGGATACGAGTTGGTATTTGTGAAATAAAATTTAAAAGAATGTTTTTTTGATACATAATATGTTCATAATTTCCATTTATAGATTCATAATTTTTTATTTGATTTTTTAATGTATTAATCTCTTCTAACAGACTTCTTTTACTTTCCTTTTCTTCATTTATAATATATTCGTATGTCTCTAATTTTTTTATTATCTTTTTGTATTCATTTGGATATATTGGTATGTTTACATTATTACTACCTTTACATTTTTCACATAAATGTATTTCTTTTAATTGCTCGTAATTACTACTGTTCTTCAAAGATTCTGTTTCAATATCTTCCGATTCATTTTTTTTTTTTATTTTATTCACATTATCTTTAAATTCAGTAGTTTCGTATGAATTTTCTAAATTTTCAATAGTTTGTCTTTTTTCTTCATTTGAAAAAGTTAATTTTTCTATTTTATAAAGTAATGATTCGATTTGTTCTTGTAATAATTTTTCCTTATTATTAAATATCTCCTTCATTTCGTTTATTTTTTTTTGAATTTCTTGATCACATGTCTCTTTATATTTTTTTTCTAACTCCAATTTTTCTTTTTTAATTTTCTTTTTTAAATCCAATATACCTACATTTTGTTGATCTCTTATATTTTTTTCTTTACATATTTCTAATTCAAGCATTTTGCATTTTTCATTAACAATAGATATCTCTTTCTTATATGTTTCAATATCTTCTTCATATTTCAAGATAGTATTGTTTAATTCTTGAATTAAGCAATTTTTTTCTTCAATTATTTTATAATTTTCATTATCTTCATTAATTAAATTATTTACTTTAATTTTATATTCATTATATTCTTTCTCAATTTCTAATTTTTCTTCTTTTATTTTCTTTATATTTAAATCTTCCATTTTTTTATATTCACTCAGTTCATTTTTATATTTCTCTTGTATGCATATAGGTTTTTTAATTTTATTATATTTTGAGTCAAAAATATCTTCAGGTAATATAAAAAACTCATCATTTTTTTTAAAGCATACTAAGATATTATTATCAGTTGAAATGGAAAACAAAACATCATTTTCATTTAAGTTATAATCTAATGCCTCTTCTTTTTTATTCTTTTCTAATATACTGATTTCCCCTTCTTTTTGTTTTATTTGCATTTTGAGAATATTATTTTCTTTTTCAATTTTCTTTATTTCTTCCATATGTAATATTATTTCTTTTTGTAATTTTGTGTTTATATCGTTTAATGATTCATTTTTTTTAACTAAATCTATTTGTATTTCATTTTGTTTCTCTAATGAGTTTTTATAAATATTTATTTCATTACAATATTTTATATTACATTTTTCTATTTCTTCTTTTTTTTTAATCTCATTTATATATATTGCAATTTCTTTTTCTTTATTTTCACATTTTATCTTTAATTCTTCTAGTTCTTTTTTGTTGTTTAACGTGTATACTTTAAATTTAGCTAGTAAATGAATTTTTTCCTTTTTCATATTTTCTATAGTATTTTTTAATTCTTTTATTTCATTTAATAATTCTGTACATTCATAATTTAATTGAGAAATGTTATCATTTCTTTTGTTATTATTGTCGCAATTATTGCTATTTACATCATTATAATTATTAACGTTAATATGATTGTTCATGTTAATATCGTAGTTTACATTTTTATTATTACTACCAATTATACTATTATCATTATGTACGTTATTAATTCTATTTAGGTTATAAATACTTTTACAAATATCATTATTACTAGGATCGCTGTTTTTGCTATTAAAAGTATAATCAATATTATTATTGTCATTAGAAGAATTAATATTACTGTTAGAAGAATGAATTTTATTACCGTCAATAGAATCTATATTGCTATTTACATGAGCAGAGTTATGCTTATAATTGTTACTAGAAGAACTATTATTATTTGAAAAATTATTATTTTTATTATTATCAAAATCATTATTATTATTAACGTAAGAATCATTATTCTTATTACTATCACAATCATTATTTTTATTGTTATCATAGTCATTATTATTATTAACATAAGGATCACTATTCTTATTACTATCAGAATCACTGTTTTTATTGTTATCATCATTATTATTATTTTTATTATCATAATCAATTTTATCATTATTATTAACATCAAAGTCACCATTCTTCTTATTATCATAATCATTATTGCTATCGGAATCATTGTTTTTATTGTTATCAGAATCAACATTAATTAGATTATCATATTCCTTATTCTGATTATTATCAGAATCAACATTAATTAGATTATCATATTCCTTATTCTGATTATTATCAGAATCATTATTACTATTATTATTAGAATCATTATTACTATTATTATCAGAATCATTATTACTATTATTATCAGAATCATTATTACTATTATTATCAGAATCATTATTACTGTTATTATTAGAATCATTATTACTATTATTATTATATGAATTATTATAACCATTATTATCAAAATCATTATTTTTATTATTACCAGAATAATTATTATTATCACCAGGATCCTTATAGCTATTATTATTATAAGAATTATTATTATTATTATTTACATTATTATTTGAGTTGTTCTTTTTAATATTTTTATTATTATTACTATTATATATATTATTAGTAGTAGTAGTAGTACTATTTTTATTAATGTTATCATTAATATCTATATTATAATTGTTATTAGAAACATTATGAACTTCATTGTTATTAACATATAAATCAGTATATAAATTATGTGAACTACTTTTTTTTTTCTTTCCTTTATAATTAAAATTTTCATAATTTTCTTTTTCATTAATATCTAAAATGTTCTTTAGTGAATTTTTTTCATTACTTATTTCATTATTTACTTTTTCTTCTTTAAAGTCAATGAAATATTTCAATTTATTTTCAATATCAAAATTTTCTTTCTTCAAATTTCTATTTTTCTCATTTTTATTCTCTTTATCACAAATATTTTTCATATCCTCACCATTTTTCTTTGTTTCAACATTCTCACCTTTATGTTCACGATTAAAATTATTTTCATTCTCGAAATCTTTATATTCACATTTATTTTCACAGGAATAATTTTCATTTTTATATTCATTATCATTTTTATTATTATAATTGATTTCACTTTCTTTTTTATTTTTATTTTCATCATCTATTTTACAATTGATAAAATCATTAGATTTTTCAATAATTTGATCTATATCAAATCTATCCCTTAACTGATTGTTCCCTTTTTCTTTAAGTGCTTGTGTATTTTCATTTAATGAACTTGTTCTAGATTTTATTTCGTTTTCTTTCATTTGTTTATCTCTGCTTTTATTATCTTTTACATTTTTTATATTAATATGTAAATCAAATTTATTATTTAACAAATTACTATTCATACTTAAATTTGTGGAAAGAGAACTTCTTCTCTTAAGAATTTTTTTTTGTTTTAATTTTTTTTTAACTTCATTATTTGCATTTGATTGATTTCCCTTTATGTTACAACATAAACTTTTTTCATTTCCAGAACCGTTATTATTATTCACACTTTTTTCTGATTTTGCATAATATCCTAATGAGCTATTATCACTATTTATTGAACTCTTTTCAAAATACGCTAAAGACTTTTTATATTGAATAAATACATCTTTTAAATTTTCACTTTTGTCATTATATTCATCAGAATTATTTGATATATAATCATAATTTTCTTCGTTTGTATCAATGTAATTACTGTCATTTTGGTTATCTTGAAAATCATAAATATGAAATTTACTTTTTTTTATATCATTATTATCTTCTTCATTATAATAATTTTTTCTATTGGAACCTGCTTCTGATATAATTTCATTCCCATTAATAGATTTATCAAGCTTTTCGGAACTATAATTATTATTTTCCACGTTAAAATTATAGGTTATATTCCTTTCACAATCACTCAATTCATCTCCTTTATAACCTTTTTCTTTTTTAATGTTATTTTTATGAATTTCATATATTTTATTGTTTTTAAAATCCGTTTCAGTATTTTCAGAAGAACATGAAAAATTATTATCTTTCTTATTTTTTTTCTTTTTTTTCTTTAACTTCTTATAATTCTTCCCTTCGTCGTCTTTAACAATGTCTTTTATTTTTGAATGGTTATCATTACTGGTAAAATCATTACTATTATTTAATAATCTTTTTTCAATTTTGCAATTTCTAACACTATGTAAATCATGAATATTACTAATATATTCTTTATCTTCAATATATTCACGATTTTCTAGTTGATTGAGACTTTCAACAAATTTATTATTTTTTAAATTGTTATTTAAATACTCAAGAATTGAATTTTTTTCGTTTATAAAATTATTCATATTTTTCTTTTCATTATTTTCCTCATTAAAACTCAAAGAGTTACTGGAATTACTTAAAACTCCAAGGTCAATTTTTTTTAGAACTTTTCCTTCTTCATAATAAGTATTACAATTCTTTATATTCTCGAAACTATATTCACCTTCATTAACACAATTAATTCTTTTGTTATCAAAACTATTATGCGTACTGATTTTATTTTTAGAATTTACACTTTTATCTTCATTACTAAAACAATTAATTAAATCATTATAATATAAATTATTATTTTTTATATTTTTATGATTTATATAGGTTTCATCAAATGTATTGGAATAATTGTTATTCTGTTCTAAGTTTTTTTTTTCATCTGTGTTATCGTTATAACTTAAATTATCAATCAGAAAACCTTCACTGTTATTAGTATAACAATTTTTTGTTAATATATTTTTTTGTTCATTATTATTTTTAATGGATATTTTTTTTTCATCATCTGAGTTGTCTGTATAATTAATTAAAGTGCTTTGTGACCTATTATAGCTATCATTTAAAAAGCTATCATAACTTACTTCAATAAAATCAGAATTATTTTTCTTATTGTAATTATAAATATTATTCTCTTCATCTTCTTTTGATATATAATCACATAAATTTTCTATGTTGTTATTTGTATTATGACTTTTCAAATTACTTTTATTTTCTTGTAAAGGATATTCATCTTTTTTGTAATTATTGAATAAGCTACTTGGTATATTGAATAAATCATTCTCTTTTAGTAGGACTTGCTCGTTTGAATTATTAATCATAATTTTTTGAACGTTATTTATTTCTACATTACTACGACAACTTAAAAACAAATTATTGTTTTCAGTGATGCCTCTCCCGTATGTTTCATTTTCTTCGAAATAATTCATTATTAAAATTTATGTGAATGATTCTTGAATAAATATATGGTTACTATCTTATCCAGCTTTTTCTTATCAATTTTTTTTTATTATTTGTTTATGAAATTATGCGATAAAAAGAAAAAGATAATACATGAATTTAATTATAAAAAATTATGCTTTAAATGTATTTCGATAAAAATTTTTTATATGAAGCTAATAATCATACCTTATAATACATAAAAAAAAAAATTTTTTTATTATAGATTTAATTTTTTATTTTACTTTTTTTTGGAGGGTAAAAATTTATGCATAAGTTTATTAAAAGTATAAAATAAATTTCTTTTATATTTCTAAATATGTTAAAAGGGATAAATTAATAACAAAGGTGAGACACATTTTGCTTATGCTTATTTTTTATAAAAACAATTTTTGAGAGATCCTTATTTTTTAAAAATTTATTTTTATATTAATAAAATCTAAAAAAAAAAAATAATTTAAAAAAAAATATATTTTTGCAAAATACATTTTGTGCCATGAGTTATTATAAAACAAAATAAAAAAAAAATATATTAAAATGCAATACAAAAATTTTATAAGAAAAAATAAAAGTTTGATAAAAAAATAATCTTATACGAAAAAAAAAACTAACACAGAAAAAATAGTTTGATTTAAAAACAGATAAAATCTATATATATTTAGAAAAGCTTATAACATACAAAAAATTATATATTATGTTAAAAACAACCACAATTATTCTTTGAAAAATTAAGGAATATAATGTAAAGAAATACAATGAAAATAGGTTTAATTTATTTTTATAATCTTAATTATGTATTTTAAATATATATCCTTTAAAAAATATGAACAATATAGCTTTATTGAATATAAAAAACACTTATATGTAAGTATAGCTATGTGCACACACAAAAAATGAAAGAAAAAATGTATATATGCATATATCAATATATTTAAAAAAAAATAAAAAAAAATTACTGCAAATATATGAATAGTTCATAAAATTAATTTATAAATATTCCCATAAAGATAAAAATTATTGCTAAGAAAAAAAAGAATACAAAAGGTGCGCAGAAGTGTGCAAATAATATCAATATCAAAGAGAATAAAATAAATAAGTTGTTAAAACATTACTTGAATTTTCCTCTTATTAATATAAAAAAAAAAAATATATTTTATTAAAAAAAAATTATTTATTATTTGAGTTTTTTGATACATAATTTTTGTGATTTCTTTTTGAATTTTTGATAACTTTTAAAGGTAATTATCCTATTATACTTTAACTATTATATTTATGTTAATTCGTTAAAGAATAACTTTAATCTTTAAAATTAGCATATTTTCTTTTTGACAGAAATTATAAAAATAAATATTTATCTCTAACATTTTCTAAGTATAAAAAAAAAAAGAAAAAAAAAGGTAGAAGATAACATGGATAATTTAATTTTTATAGAGCATACCTTTTATTATAGAATTATTATTATTTTTTTTTTAAATATTTTAAACAAAAAAAAAATATGTATTATATGGTGAAGGGAATACATTATGAGATCATAAGAATAATTTAACTCCAAATTTTCGATAAATGTAATCTTTTATCTAAGAATATTTGAAACTTTTGCTTTTTTCTTGAAATCTTAAGAACCAATTTAATTTTGTGTGCATCTACTTTTTATAGTTATAAGTAGTTTATTACTACTATGTAAAAAGGAAAAGAGATTTTTAAAAATAATATAAAAAAAAATTCTTATTTATATTAATGAATATCATATGTGTGATAAAAATGTTTTCTAAAAGGTTATTTTTTTATAACAGAAAAATACTTAAGATTCTCTTGAAATACTTCTGCGTAAGGTGCTTTATCATTGGATTCATAAATTGACTCTTTAAAAAAATATATTTTATGTTCTACGTAGGGGTTTTGCACATAGAGACAAATGAATATATTATTTTTCATTTATTTAATTCTCTTAATTACATTTTGTTTTATTTTATTTTAATTTATTTTTTAAAGAATATTTTTGTTTATATTTACATTAGTAAAGATACCTATTAAAAAAAATATAAAAAAGACATAGTAATATTAGTTATAAAAAATGAAAAAAAATGTAAATAGTCTTTTAAGTATTTTTTTATTGTATTTATGATATTAAAATAAGCAGAAGAGTTTTTTATATATTTTAATTGTCCTATTTCCATATTAACATAAAAGGATACATGTGCATATCATACTTTATATATCCTATATTTTAAAATAAATTAAGAATATTAATCATATTCTATCTTCCTTTATTTTAAATGAATTTTATTATGATTCTATTTTATTTTATTCTCTTTTTTTTTTTTTTTTTTTTTTTTTTTTTTGTTAATTCATTTACATTATAAAGGTTTTCATTTTTTATAAGATATGATGTTTGTCCCTATTTCTTTTAAAATAATTTAATATTTCTTTATATAATGAACAATAATATATATAATTATAATATGAGCAAAGGAATAGCAAAAAATTATTTTCGAAGTGAAAATTTATGTAATGAAATTAATTATGAAAACAATAATAGAAGTTATTATTTGAATCCATTAAACAATTTTTATGCTCCTTCATATATAGATAATAATACAGAAAATAATGAATATAGCCGAAGAAATTTGAATTTTTATAATATATATGATTACCCAATAGATAGTTGTTTATCTAATTCAAAAATTAATTTATTAAATAATAACATAATATATCAAAAAGAAAATTCATGCCAAGAAAATAATTTAAATTATTCAAAAAATTTTTTTGAAAGATATTCAACAAATAATGTTAATCAAAATTATGATAAAGAATTATGTGTTCAATGTACATGCTTCAATAGAAACCCATCCGAAATAAATAGTCTTGATGAAAATATAAAAAATGTTCTTGATAGAAATATACTTAATAAATCTTCTGCACTTTCAAATTATAACATATATCCATTGAATTCAAATAATAATATGAACATTTTATATCATGCAAAAAATAATATTTGTTCTTTACATCAATGTGTAGATACGCATTTTAGCGCAAATATGAATAATGCACTTTTGAATTTAAATTCATTAAATAATTGTAAGAAAAATACAAATATAACATATAATGAAAATAAAAATTTAAATCATAATTTAAATCAAAGTTTGAATCAAGATTTAAGTCAAAATTTAAACCAAAGTTTAAATAATAGTTTAAGTCAATGTTTAAATCGAAATTCAAATAAAATTTTAAATCATGATTTAAGCCAAAATTTAAATAATAATTTAAATCAAATAATTAATCAAAATAGTAATAAAATTTTAAATCAAACGAATAATCAGATTTTACATCAAAATAACAATCAAATTTTAAATCAAATTAATAATCAAATTTTAAATCAAAATAAAAATCAAATTTTAAATCAAAATAACCAAAATTTTAATCAAAATATTAATCAAATTTTGGCTAACAATTTAAATCATTCTCATAATTTAATTGATAACATAAACAAAAATGTTGATATTAATTCAAACGCTACGTTTAATTCTCTAGATTATATAAAATTGAGCCCATTGAATAATTCTCAAATAAATAATTCTTTAAATCATATTGTAAATGTAAATACATTAAATAATATGAATAATAATAATCCTTTAAATGCAGGTATAAATATGAATATGTCGAACAATGTACAGAACACAATAACTGTTCCATCCAATATAAATGTATCAAATAATTTAAATAATAATGCTGATGTATCATCTAATTTAATGTTAAATTCTCTAAACAATAATGAAAATACACTAAATTTAAATATGTATGAGCAAAATATAAATTTTAGAACTCCTAATATAAATATTAACCCTTTAAATACTTCACAAATAAATAATATGAGAAGAAATATAAATTCCAATTTAAATTTAATAAATTATCCTGAAATAAACATGAAATCAACTACAATGGATGATAAGGATCTTAGTTATTTAGATAATAAAAATTCATATAGTTGTTTAAATGTAAAAAATGAATTAATATCTAATAATTTATATAAAAAGAATATAAGAAATAATTTAAAATTCAATAATAAAAATAATGACATAAATGATCCGTTAAATTCTAATAACCTATATAAAGTAAAATTAAAAAATATTAAAGAAAATAGAGAAAATTTACTCAGTATGAAAATGAAATTTAATAACAATATTGATTATAAAGATGCTTATAATTCAACTGCAAATGACAACAATGATTACTTAGAACACAGAAAATCATGTTATTTTATAAATGCAAATTTAAACAACGAATATGTTGAAGGTAATCAAGAAGATAAAAAAAAAAATTCCTTCAATAAATACTTGAATTTAAAACAAAACAAATTAATTAATAAAAGAAGTTACAATTTATATAAACATCACAAATATGAGTCTCCAAACGACAAAAATTTTGATAGTTTTAATCATCACAGTAATAAAAATTTATTATCAATGAATTTAAATAATAAGGTTAATTATAAAAACAGATGTAATTCAAATAACACATCAACAACAAATAATATTAATGAAAAGGAAAAGTTTAGTGATACTAGTGATGAATCCAACAGAAGTAATTATAAAAATCCAAAATGTTATAATGAAAAAATTATGCCAAACAAAAACTTCAAAAATATCATATTTAGTAATAGTAATAAATCTTCTTCCACTAATAGTGATAAATTAGAAGAAAGTTATGATAAAAAAAAAAAAAAAAGAAAGAATAAAATAAAAGAGAATAAATATATTAATAGATGTTTACATAATTTAAAAGATAAAAAAAAGGAAACACTCAAAGAAAATAATTTTTTATCTTCTATGTGTTCTTCTCATAATTCCGCATCATCATATTCATCTTCTTCTTCTTCATTTTTTACTAATGTATTGGATGAAAAAATGAAAAAAAGAAAAATGAATAGAGAGACATTTAATATGCACATTCCTAAGAAAAAGAAAAGGCCAACAGTTATAGATTTTATAAATGAAAAGTGGAATAGAAGTTCTTTTAAAGAAAATGAAAAAGAAAATAGGAGTAAAAATGAAAGCGAAAATGAAATCAGTAATGACAACGAAAGTGAAAATGATCATAAATACGAAAGAAAATATTATGAATACAGTGATAACAGTTTAAATGATCATGAAAAAAGCTCAAATAAAAGTTATGCAAGTCAAAAAAAAGAAATATATAATCATTTAAGAGTAAGAAAAAAATATGAGAAACTGAGTAAAAGCAATTCACTGTATTCAGATAAAGAAAAGAAATGTGAAAACAAAGGTGGTTATGACTCAAATGAAAATTATTTATCATGTTCAGAAGGAGATGAGAAAAAAGATTACTATGAGAATGACAATGAACAAAGTGAAAAAGAAAAAAGGGCAAAAACAAGTAAACATGAAAAATTAATGAAAAATTATAGATTGAAAGATTCGATATTGCATATGCAGAACAAATTCTCAGGAGATTTATTAAATAAAAGTGAAATAAAATTCAATGAAGAAATAGAGACAAAAAAAAAAAATCACAATATTAAAAGAAGGAAAAACAGTTATAAATTTAAAAGTAATGAATATGAAGAATATACAAAAAAGGAGAATTATTTAAATAAAGATGAATATAAAGATGATCTAAGCAATACAAATGAAGAATTAGATGACAACATAAATTCAAATATATATTATAGTAACAAAGATCATGATATAGTTAATGAACAGACAGATAGAAGCGATTTTGAAATTAGAGAGGAAGAAGAGGAAGAAGATGAGGAAGAAAAAGAGGAAGAGGAAGAAAAGGAGGAAGAAGAAGAGGAAGAAAAAGAGGAAGAAGAAGAGGAAGAAAAAGAAAAAGAAAAAGAGGAAGAAGGAGAAGGAGAAGAAGAAAAAAAAAAAAATACAAAATTACAAGATTTTAGTGAAATTAATGTAAATAATAAATTAACATACCAAAAAAAACAAGGAAAAAGTGATAATTTAAACAGTTTAACTGATAAAAGTATATCTTTAGATGAATCAGGTAGTTGCAGCGAATGTATTAACAGATCAGTTAAAAGTGAAAGCTCATTATCTTCTGAATCCACTGAAAATTCTGAATATTTAATGGAATCTACTTCTGATGAAATCACAAAAACGGAAAGTACAAGTAATAATAGTGATAACTCCTTTTATAATAACAATCAAAGTTGTAATAATAATAGCAATAGTAGTAGTAACAAACGCATTAGTAGTATTAATAATGGTAGTAGTAGTAACAATAAAAATATTATTTATAATGATAGTGTACATAAAGACACTAATTTAAATGAAAATAATAAATGTGCAAACAAAATTCCCTCTAATAATTATTTATTAAAACAAATAAATGATATAAATTTTTTTCCAATTAATATTTACAGCAATAAGGAAAACTTAAACAATCTACCTGTAAATGAAGAACAAGATAATCATTTTTATAAAAATTCCTCAAATAACATAAATTGTTACAAAACAAATGACATGTTAAATGCTAATAATTCTTGTATAATTAAAGACAACAAATATATATATACAAATTTAAGAGATTTAAATTATATTAAAAAACAAGTAATTCTAAATTATTTAAAGGAATATTTCATTAAAAAAAAAATAAATATATATGAATATATAATTCTTCTATCTTATTTATTTTATAAAAAATCAAAATACATGGGATTTAATAAAGTGTACCTATATAATACTATGAAAAATTTATCTCCTTATTTATGGAATTTAAATAGAAAATGTAATGACATAGAAATTAGAAATTTTTCTTATTTTATGAGTAAAATTTTTGTTTTACATGATTATTTTATATTTAGAATAAATATATTTGCATTTAATTGGTTCATTTTATATATATATAAAATTAAATTAAAAAATGTGTCATTTCTGGAAGATATAAATCTTTTAATAAATTTTATGATTGGATTTTTAACAAACAAAAAATTTCTAAATTATTCTATTCTTTTTGTTATTAATGTTGTACTTCAAAAAAATACTGGGAAATCTTTATATATTGGTTTGAATTATAATTATATTTGTTCTTTATATATATCTTTATTTTCTAAAATAATATGTTTATCAAAAAATCATAAAAAATTTTTAAAGGAATTTAAAATTTATCTGAAAAAAAATAGTGCTAAAATAAGTATAAACTTGGGAAAAAATAATGAGATTATTTTAGACAATTTTCAATATATAGAAAAGAAAGAAGAAGAAATTAAAATTATTGAAAATAATAAAAATAGTTTCAAAAAAAAAAATAGCAATACACACTACATAAGTGATAGATTAATTGAGAATAAAGAATCAATAAAAATTGAAAATAGTTCTATAGAAAGTGTAAAAAAGGAAAAATCAATAAGGCAAGATTTAATTATATTATATATATTATATATATCAAGAAATAATTATTCCATATATGTTAATATTTTAAGACATTTTTTTGAAGATATAATTAAATTTAAATTAACATATAATTTTTATAAAATAAAAATTAAAAGTAAATTTTTATATAAAAGGATTATTCGTTGCTTAAAGAATATTAAAATAAACTTAAATAAAATAAATAAAAAAAAAAGAAAAAAAAAAAAAACATCGAAAAATTTAAGTGGATCTAATAAAGATAATTTTTTATATGACGATTATATAAATAAGAATTACTCATTCATTTTTTTATTTATTGCATTACTAATGGAATATATTTCTTTTTCTGTTAATCAAAATGTTTCTTATTATTTTGAAAATGAAGCTTTGAAAAAAACATATGAGTTGTTATTTTCATATATAAAAGAATACAGTGATATTATATATAAATATATGAAATCAATAACACTAGATCAACTAAAAATTTATAAGAATATTTGGTTGCGTAATATTTTTACTATTATAAATTTGAAAAAATTTTATAATTTAGATGGATATTTTAATGAAACTTCTTGCAATGACTTTTTGTTTTCTATTAAAGGTGACCATATAAATGAGAAAATCATACCTGAAGTGAAAACTGAAAAAGAAAAAGACAGCAGTATCATTAAAAGAAAAATAAGTGATAAAATTAATCTAGAAAATGATTTAAGTAGTTCAATGATTTTAGAAAAAAAGAAAAGAATAGATAAAAGTGAAAATATAAATACAGGGGAAATTGTAGGGAATAATGAAAAATTATTAAAGGAAAAACAGATATTCAATAAAACAGTAGAAAATGGAGATATTAATGAAAATAAAATAAAATTTTTAGAAGACATAGAATCATATAATGAGTTAAATGATGAAATAGAAACAGAAGTTAAAAAGTGTGATGAAAATAAATCTAACAAATCAAAGTGTGAAAATACAAATTTCATTAAAAATATCAGTACTTTCCTTAATTTAAATTTTAAAAATAACAGTTTATTATATGACAGGTATAATTCTAACCATAATAATACAAATAATTTAGATTATAAATTAAAAAGTATAACAGAACATAAAATAAATAAATTTCAATTAAACACAACTACGCCTTTAAAAAGCGTTTCTCTTAAAATATATGATGATAATTATTCACTACATACCAAAAAAAAATCAAAAAATTATATAAAAAAAAAAAATAATTTTTTGAACAAAAAATTTATAGAAGTTACTTTTTTAATTTTATGTAAATGCCTAATGTTGTTTAAGTCTAGTATTTTATTTAAAAGCATATTCGATATTTTATTTTTATTTTTTATAAATAAAATCAAAAAAGAGCAGTTAAAACACTTTTTGAGCCAAATATATATAAAAGATAACCATTTACGTAATATAGTAACAACTATATTAGTAAAAAATGATGTAAATAAAAGTTATTCACAAAATATATATTTTATCAATTATTATTTAAAAAGGAAAAAGAATTATGAGGATATTGATATTGATATAAATTTATTAGATATTAACTTAACTGATTTATTTTCATTTTATTTTTCGAAATGTTTAAAAGGAAAAAATATATACAAAAAAGAAAAAAAATATAAATTGAATATTATAAATAATTACTTAAATTTACACATATATATGAAACCTTGTTCATGCATATTTTTATCTTATATAATTTTTTTTTCATTAATTTTTAAAAATTTTAGGATGCATTTTATGCACTTTACTAAGTTTTCGTTTTCTTTGAAAAGAAAAACAAACAGACATAAAAACATAAAAGAAATCAGTTGTAAAACAGTAATGAACACAAATAAAAACATGGGGTTAAAAAATGAATTTCATAATGGAAAGCATATAAGTTATTTGAATATAATAAATAAAGATGTAAATAGATATCAACATTGTGAAGAAAATAAAAAATATCATATTTTTAGTGATTTAAAGAATAAAGAAGACTTTTGTGTTATTTCAAGAAAAGACCCAGAAGAAAATATAAATTTATGTACGAATGATCATATGTTAAAAGATATGGTTAAAAATTTAGAGGAAAACAATATATCTAATCAACAAATTAATCACCTTAAAATAGATAATAATACTAAAAAAATATATAACAATTCAGAAAACATCAATAATATTAAAAATGAGTATATACATGATAAAACTATTTTTTATGAGAGAAACAAGGAAAAATTAATAAAATTAATAAACAAATATCATCTTATTATTTCATATCGCTTTTTAAATTTGTACTTTAATAGTAAAAGAAAATACGCTGATAATAATATCACAGATAATAAAGGTAATATTAATTTAAATAAAAAAGTAGAAAATTTGTTAATAAATGAAGAAAATTTCATTGAAAACCTTCACTTTTTTAAGGAAGAAATAGCTTATCATATTTTATGTAGATTATATGAATGTAAAAAGGAATATAATGTCCACACAGGAAATATTTTTTCTAAAATAGATGGCAATTTATTTAAAAGAGAAATTGACAAAAAAGTAAAAAATAATAGTGATTACAATGAAAAAAAAAAAAAAATATATGATATATATTTAAAAAAAATGAATAATATAATAAAGTGGAGTAAAAACAATATAGATTATAATAATAAAAAAAAAAATACAGTAAAACTTAAATCAAGAAGAAATAAATATACAAATATAATTATAGATATTTACCCATTGATTTTTTTGTCTTTAGTTAAATTATTAAATGCATCAATAATTATTAATGATGACGTTAATAAAAAGTCTTTTGATGTGAAAAACGAAATATTTCCTGTAAATTTATTTATATGTGTAGAACTAAATAAAAAAGAAGAATTTTTGAAAATTCATGAAAAAGAAATAAAAAATTATGAAAAAGAAAAAATGAAATATTTGAATATTAAAAGTTGCTTATGTAATGAGTTTTTTGAAACCAAAAATAAAAGTTTATTTTTAAAAGATTATTTAAATATTAAAAAGGGAATTTATAATAAAGAGAAAAAAAGATATATGTATGAAAAACCTTTAATTTATTATAATGTTGTAAATAGCAGATTACGTTTAAATTTGATTGTAAAATTGTTGTATAAAGAGATAAAAACTGACTTTTTTTTATTTCACGAATATGGTGATAATAAAGTATATATATATAGAAGTTTACTAATTTTATTAATATATAAATACTTATCTTGTGGGTACAACTTATTTTATTTTAAAAAAAAATTTATTTTTTTCTTTATTCAAAGATTATTTCGGTTATTATGTTTTCGTTTAATGTGTTTATTTTTATGCACTGTTCATATAAATAAATTAACTAGTGAAATAATTGTCATTGATGATAATTTTTTAATAGATAAGTATCTTAAATACAAAAGTAAAAAAACTCAAAAAATTAAAAAGAATAAAATTTATCAAAAAAAATCATATAATATGTACAAAAATTATTCAGAAAATTATTATTTTAATTATGATTTTGTTGAAAATTTCAACCATGTATTAAATGAAAAAAAATTGAAAGAGGAAGATGAAGAAGAAGAAGAAGAAGAAGAGGAAGAGGAAGAGGAAGAAGATGAGGAAGAAGATGAAGAAGAGGAAGAAGAGGAAGAAGAATATCATGTATCCTATGATGAAGAAAACTACAATGCAAAAAAGGACGATAAAAAAAGGTATATTGTAAATGGAAAAAGTTTGCACAGAAATTATAATAATTTAGATAAAATCAAAGATAATAGTAATGATGATTCAAATTTAGAAAAAAAAGAAAAAGAGGACAATATGAAAATAAGCGAAACCTCTAAAAAAAAATGTAGTAATTATGAGATTTATGATAATAAATTAAAAAGCGAAATAGAAAGTAAAAATTTCACAAAAGATTCTATGAATTCAGGAGAGGATTATTTTATGGGACAATATGGGAGGAAAAGAAATAATAAAAAAAAAAAAAAAAAAAAAAAGACTTATATATATAAACCATTTATACCTTTTGGAAGTTTGGTTATGACAAAAAAAGAAATACTAAAATTAAACTTATTAGAGAATAATGAATTAAAAAAGGAAAAAATATATATAAGCAAAAATATATTAAATAAGAAGAATAAAATGAGAAATTTAAATACAAAAGATAGTATAAAAATAGATAAAGATACGATACAGTTATCTTTAATATCAATTATAATGCTTTTGAATGTTTTAAGAAAAAACTCCAATTATTCATTAATGATAAATTTCTACATAAATTTATTAATGGATAAATTTTTAGAAAAAAAAAAATATATTCATATAGATGATTGTTATTTAATAAATAGTTACAAGGTTAAATTAATAAATCCTTTACACAATAACCATAAAAAAGAGTTTGTTATAAATGATAACTATTCTATGAAAAAAAAAATGGAAATAATAAATAATGGATATAAATTTTATGCATCTTCATGTAAGTTACAAATATTTGAAATAATATTTTACGAAACATTAAAAGTATATTTAAGCTTCATTAACGGCCGTTACTTGCGCACTTTTATTTCAAAAATTGCACAACTAAATAATATATACACAAATAAAAATGTTCACTTTAAAATTAAAATAAATAGATTGTTATGCAGCAAACTTAATAATCTATTATTAGAACAACTATTGAATATGAAGTTAAACAAAATTGTTTTAAGTAACATAATATCTGCTTGTAAATTTTTTTTTATTTCATTACTTGATGAAAATGAAAATTGCAATTTTTTTCTGAACAATCCAGGTGAAAAATCATTTTTTTTTATAAATTCTAGTAATTTTTTTGGAAATGAAAAAGAAAATGAGATAAAATATATTCAGCACATGAATACTGATAATATTAAATATGAAAAAAAATATGAATTAATTCTTCAAAAAAAAGAAAAATATGAAGAATGTTATGAAATTAAAAAAAATGATAATATACAAAATCATTATTCGTATGATTCTTTTAATAAAACACTATATACAAAAATCTTAAATGTAGGAGAAAGAAATTCTTCTGAGAAAAATAATGAACCTTACATTGAACAAACAAAAAACGAAAATAGGATAAATGATGAAAAAGAAAATAAAATTTTAATGAATACTAAATTAAAAATGGATGAAAATCAAGAAATAGAAAAAAATAATAATCAAAACAAAAAAGAAAGTTATACAAATAATTTAATAAATAAAAATTATATTTTTAATGAGTATGAAAATTATTATACGAAAAATAACAAAAATGATTTATCAATTAATAAAAGCAGTAATTTAAAATATAACGAAGATAAATATATAGATAAGAAAAATAATTCTGATGATTTCAATTGCTTGGATGCTTCATCTGTTAAAAATTCGGATTTTAGTGACATAAAAAGAAGTTATTTAAATATAGATAGCATGAACAGATTTTCACAAAACATTGATGTACTAATGGAAAAAGGTAATAGTAGCAATAATTCAGTTTATAAATATGATAATTCTACTTTAGATATTAACACAATAGTTAAAAGTGAAGAAAAATCTAAAGTAAGAATAATTTATAAAAGAAAATATGATATAAATTTTAATGAATATGATAAAACTAACAAGATGAAAAGTACTATAATATGTATGAAACCAAATGATATAAATAAATTAATTGATTGTTTTCTGAAGTTAAATATAACAATTTTTGAGTGCGCCCAATATATATACAACAATATTTTTAAAAATAAAAAGGAAAAATTATGTGAAGATATAAAACAAGACAAAGATATATATATGTGGTTTCAAAACTCCTTAAATGTTCTAAATATAGAAATATCTGCTCTTGGTCAAATTTATAATAAATTTCAAAACACTACAATATATATTAAAAAAAAAAAAAAATTTGTAAGTCACACTATAAAAATAAACACAAATAAATTAAAAGAAATGGACGAAATAAAGAAATATTTAGAAATGTATTTGTTAGAAACAAAAAATAAATATGAATCAACAAAAATGATCATTGAAAAAAGAGAGAGATTGAATATGTTAGGTTGTAACGAATCTTTAAATGAAAATGGAAACATTAATGAAAAAGAAAAGGAAAGGGAAAACGAAAAGGAAAAGGAAAAGGAAAAGGAAAATGAAAAAGGAAAAGAAATTATGTATGAAGAATTAGTGGATGACTATGATGAACTAAATTCATTTTTAGATTTTAGCTTAGACAAGTCATCTGGTATATTAATAGAAAAAACAAATATTAAAAAAGATCTCCTTAACCCAACAAATAATATTAATCAAATAAATGAATATTTAATAGATGAAGATTGGCTTATGTATATTCGATCATTAATATAATGAATATAATAGCTTTAAAAATATAAACAACATATGCTTATATATTTTTAAGTTAATTATTTTTATAAACATCTATTGTTCTGCCTTATTTTCACATATTTATTCGTTTTATTTTATCTTTCCTTTTTTTTCTTTTTTTTTTTTTTTGAAATGTTTTTGTTATTTTTTGTTGAAATAAAAAAAAATAAGGAAAAACATAATATTATTTATTAATTGTTCTTAAATTAAAATATATATATATTATAAATATTATTGTTCAATTTTAACTTATATGATTTTTAATTTTTTTTTCATAATTTGTGAAATTCTATTTTTTTTATTATTACGTTAAAATAGATTTAGTTTTTCATTAAAATTATTATTTTACATATAACATATATATATATAATTTTTTCGTGATACACATATGTAATACATATATATATATATATATATATATATTTTTTTTTTTTTTTTTTTTTTTTTTTTTTTAAT